AATACAGACTGAAAAGCTGAAAGGGTTTCAGAGAAAGTGCACTTATGTGATTCAACAATTACAACTGAATACATTTGATTTTCTGTTAAATATATTAATTTGAATATGTTTTTTAACAAGTTCATTTAACAACATCAGACTTAAAAATCAGACACACTTAAATTCTCTAACACAGAGAAACTGGTTTCCTTTTCATATTATGTAATTCTGTCAGAAACAAAATCAGAATTTGAATTAAAAAAACCTTTCAAGCATTCAAATTCGAAGCAGATTATACATGACAATGTTCAATTATAACTAAATCAACTTGATGAATAAAGCCCTGTTCAATGCAAATGTATGGCAGAGGCCTTGCAATTAGGCCAGAGATTTCCAAATTGAAATCTCTTTCCCTATGTTAATTGAATAATGGCCTTTTGTCAGCTCTCTGTATTTCCACACACGGGGTGTCAAAGCTTTGTCTCTAACACGCCTGTCCTGACCCCCCCCCCCCTACCCTTTTGAACTGGATTTATGTTTTTTCGATAATCACTACAGCCATCAATCGTTACGGTAACCCAAATCAGCCAGGCAGAAATTTGTTTAATGAATGGCAAAAAAAACAGTCTTACAGCTTTTTTTTCCTGATAAGAGATTATAATTCGACCTGAAATTTCTCAAAGCCACAAAATGCAAGTGTCTATAATGAGGCGGCAGACGGAACGATGGGCTGTATTTCCTTTTTTGGAAGTTCATAATATAATTATTTTGTTCTGCTTTTGTTGAAAGACTCTGCGCTTTAATGCACAGGATCAAGATAAGACAGTCCGTTTGTTTATGAGTAAAACATTTCAAACCCTTCTTGAATTAAAACCTCAAGCTTGTCGTCTGGCTCTACTCTGGTTTTAGTTGAATGTCAGGCAGTGGAAAAAGCCAGAATGTTGGGGGTTTTTTTGGTCCAAATGTCTAAAACATACGATCATATATTGTTTTCCATGTGGACATGCACAGGCTCGAGATAAGACAGTACGGTAGTTCATGAGTAAAACATTTCAAACCCTACTTAGATTAAATTCTTAAGACTGTCGTCTGGCTCTATGCTGGTTCTAGCTGTATGTCAGGCAGTGAAAAAAAAAACACCCGGTTGTTTTGTCTTTTTTTTTGGGGGGGGGGGGGGGGGGAGGGGGATTGGGTCCTAAGGTAAAAAGAAAAATGCGATCATTTATCATTTTCCATGTGGACATTTTTTTCACACTCAAATGTTGAAATAGTGTGTGGTTATTTATTATTGGTAGCATTAGTTACATAAATGAAATGTTATCATGTTAACAATTCTGTTTTCATAGTCTAGTAGAATTAGATATCTAGCCCAGTTATTTGCTTAGTACGGTACCGTAGTTGTTAGTTTTATTTGTTGTAATATGTGATAACATAGTGATAACTTTGTACGAATGCTGTAGAAACATACAGCGCCCGGGCTGACTGCGATCTTGTTTTTTTTATCTCAATGTCAGCATTATACCATTATACTGTACATGGTATAATATACACAATATGTATGTTTATACAAATAATGTGCATACAATAAACATACACCCCCAATCACAGATGTGTGAGTGTGTATGAGTGTGTATGTGTGTGTTTATGTGTGTGTGCTTTTGTGTGTGTGTGTGTGTGTGTGTGTGCGTGTTTCTGTGTATGTGTGTGTGTGTGTGTGTGTGTGTGTGTGTGTGTGTGTGTGAGTGTGTTTGCGACAGTGTGTGTGTATGTGTGTGTGTACGCGCACGCATACCCGCGTATTCCATCAGCTTGTGACATCATAAGTTCAGCGCATGATGGTTCAGGAGATGATTATGTTTGTTAGCAAAACCCAGCAGTGGCCCAACCAGCGCAGACCATCGGGTCCCCAAAACTGAGTCCGGATCCGGAAATAAGGGTCACGTCTCATAATGAGCAGGACTCGTGGCCGCCCGGTCATCCGCCTGTGGCTTCATTTAAATGCGAAGAGCTTATTGATCGAAGGAGACGCCAGAGACGGCGCTTGCCGGACCCGAGGCCAGGGCTAGCCATAAGCTAGTTTTTGTTTAGTTTTAGTAAGGCTTTAAGGCGCTCGCAACTGCATAGAGTCATATGAGCGCCAAGGGGTTGGTGTCAACAGAGAGGTCCATACGGGGAATCAGGTTTACTCTGCTTACCTCTCTAGCCTCATCAGCACAAACATTGCTTTGTATCTAGGCTCCCCAGAAATAGCAATTCACAAGAGAGTGACAAACGTACAAAAAAAGTAGAGGAAAAAAATGACGATAGTAAGTATGAGGAAAGAAAAAGCAGCATTCCCATATGTTGTTCCGCTCAGTATGAACATGACATTGATAAATCAGCCCATTTACAATTCTACTATGCACAAGAACATGTTAATATCCCCCTTTTGGAAATGGTCTAAAGACAACTTCAGTCAGTAGCACTGCCCTGATTGGGAGGGGGGGGGGGTGGCCATAAGCTTGGCGCTCAGAGATAACAGCATTTCTCATCTACCGGGCTTTCGGGTTTTGATAGAGGTGAGCTGCGGTAATGCCAGGCTGGAGAGAAACGATGGTCTAAAAAAGATTAATCAGAGAGTTTTAACATACTGGGGTGAGCTCTGTAACCTTGGGTCTAAATACCACGACATTGGGTGATACAGAAAAGGTCGTTGAAATTTGTCACTTTTTCCACCGAATGCATTTGCATGATTTTAATCTCTTTGTTACATTGCTGTTGCTGATCGTTTTTCCGTTGCTATCGCTATCATTATCAGATGATTTTTGTGGCAATGGACACTTTTTTTAAAAAGATGATTTTTGTGATTAATACGTTTGAAGTTAATTTTACACCTTTTTGTAAAGATCTGCAATATTTCATTACGTCAGAATTGCTACTGTGGCCTGTTACTGCAGTGTACAGTCATAATAGTTATGAATCATTGATGCAACGTAGAAAGACCCTGGATTTTTGCAACGTAAGGATGGAACAGACATACACATGACAATACAAAACATAAACACTGATAGTTAAAAATGCTGGAACCAACCATTAAGAGGCTTACCCCGTTTCACGTTCGGACTGTTAGCTGTGGACAAAGAGACACAAATTAGATTTTGTTTTTAAAACGAATATTTTATAAAACCACAATATTATACTGCTTTGTTTGACTCTCTATCATATTCTAAGACTCTCTTACAACCGAAGATATAAGTATTTTTTGGAGCTAAGCAAAATGTTCAAGTAGAGAATCATAAAGTTTACTTTTTTATACAAATGAAGTACTTTTAATCCTGGTTTTCAATGAAATATTTCGAGAATGACATTTCCTTACAGAGAATAAGCCCTATGTTACTAACTTGAAAATGAAGTGCATGATACTAATCAATAATTCCCTAATCTATAATATCTTCACTAATTTCTGCACTTTGGAAACGAAATAAGATAAAATTATGTAATTATAGCAAATAGAGTGACCGGTAGTTGCGCAATAAAATCATGAACGTTTAACATTCTTGTCACTCCCACTCTATATCAAAGCCAGGGCTCATCATGTGCTATAGCGAGTTTCCCAGCGTAATCTGTCTTGACGAGTGTCTCAGAGACACGCCAAAATCTTCCCTGAGAAGACACGAACGTCGCTGTGTGGTCCCATCTCCCAGGAGAGGGTGGGCTCGTCATAGCCGAGGCGCTGAGCTCTTTCTCTCTTTCTACCTTCCCCTCCCCTAGCGGGGACTCTTTTCCAGCTCAGCTTTATTGATGCTGGAAACAACACTTAGAGACACTAAGCCGATTGCGAGCTTGGAAGCCTGGAAGCCTGGAAGCCTGGAAGCCTTAAGTGCTCACTTTGGTACCTTGCAGGCAGTTGTCTGGTACAATGTCAAATGCATTGCAGTTGTCATTGTTCTTTTGATGTTGTGGGCTGTTTTTAGATTTTTAGTCAGCGCTACTGGCAAAGATAAGAAACACCCGTACGAAAAGTAGCATTTTGGATTTGACTCATACTCCAACACGTAACCCGTACTTTCTGGCCTGCTCCTCAACACTACGTAACATGCAATAAAACGGAAAAAATGTCCCAATATTTTGAGGGTAAAACAAGTAGTCAGGGGAAAGCGTATGCAGTTAATACGGATGGGTAGGGCATAGTAATTCCCCCACCCCACCCCAAAAAAAAGAAAAAAAAAAAAGAATGAGACGCAAACAGTAAAAATAAAAAAACCCCAACAGAACATGTTTTGCTTACAGAACTCTGTTCAGAATCCTCAATGTTTCCTGGGTTACTTTACTTTCAATGATGTTTTTTGAGAAAAGCACAGTGTCTTACTATTGGCACTGAAAGACAAGCATAATGGAAGTATTAAACCCACAAGGTTGTTCAAATACCTGTATAAGATTGCCCACCCTTCACACTGATGGCTACTGGGAGGCTCTTCACTTCTCACGCCAAACATTAACGCCCTACATTCTTACCTTCTCTTAAGCCATACGATTAAGAACGGAAAGTAAATTTATCCAAGTTGTTTTTTCTTAATTCCTCTCTTTATGAAGCATTATCTAACTTGTTTTATTACTCTGTAGAATGGCTGAGTAAAAAACGCGCAAGTTTATCTTTAAATAGAGACATGTTTCTGAGCCCATTTACCACGTACTGACCTTTCAAAAGATCAGTAGACGGAAGCATGACCCCCTAAAACAAGGATGGCATACAACGTTACAATAACTTTATTCAAAGTTGTGTACTATACTAAACATCAATCCCCACTCCGCTCCCTCACAAAAAGAACCACCCTCCCCCCCCCGGCGTATTTAGTCTATAACGTACAATCAAACTGCCCTCTTTACATTTGATCCATAGATTAGACAAGAACTTCTGAAAAAAAACCAACCCCCCCCCCCCCAAACTTGAGTATGGTCTGGCTTTCCAGGCTACCAAAATATTGTCAAAAACAGAATATTGCCTGTCGTGAGCGGTCGACAAGCTTAGTTCTCAAGGTGACTCACCCACGAGCACGTTCACCTCGACACTGGCGATGAGTTCTGAGGAGCTTCGGCAGATGTACGTGCCCGAGTCGCGGTTGTGGCCACTCATGATGAGCAGTTCGCTGACTAGAGACATCGTCTCTTCCATTCTGTCGAGGAAATGAGACTTCTGTTTAAATTGGGAAGTATGGACTTTATGCTGGGAGGTCTAATGTACTTAATGACATGACAGCTACGGGAAAAGGCAAACAAGAGAAAGGGTTGGGATGAGAGAGAGAGGGAGAGAGATAGAGATAGATAGAGAGAGAGAGTGAAGGAGAGAGAGAGAGAGAGAGAGAGAGAGGGAGAGAGAGAGAAAGAGATAGATAATTAAATAGATAGATAGATACATAGAGAGATAGAGAGATAGAGAGGGAGAGAGATAGATAGATATATAGATATATAGATAGATAGATAGATAGATAGATAGATAGATAGAGAGAGAGAGAGAGAGAAAGAGAGAGAGAGAGAGAGAGAGAGAGAGCGAGAGAGAAAGTAGAGAGGGTGAGCCAGGAACAGAACATAAAAAGGAAAGGGATGAACAGCAGTAAACGACTTACGTGTGCATGTAGAGAAGAAGGAAAGAGGCCCAGAGAAAAAAAGTAGAGAGAGAGAGAGAGAGAGAGAGAGAGAGAGAGAGAGAGAGAGAGAGAGAGAGAGAGAGAGAGAGAGAGAGAGAGAGAGAGAGAGAAAAACAAAGACAAAAACAAAAACGAAGAGAGAGAAATAATGATCAGGGAAAAGTCAAATACTATGATGAGTCACGGAAAACCATACATCTTGCAGTTTTTCCTCAACACTTCGCGGAGGCTTTCCCCGTTTTTCCACCTGCCCAGCGAAATGACTTTACAAGCCGACAAGCCAGGGACATCCCAGAGTCTCGAGGGTAGAGGTTAGTAGTACGCGGGAGATAGGGGACCAGGGAGGAGGACTACGGGGGTCGCTACCATTACAGGTGTTTCCGAAAAGCAAATGTGAAGCAGCATGGTGAAATCAGGCGCTCGTCGGAGTAGTGAAATTGAATGAAGAATCTAGCATTTTTCAGCCACATTGGCAGTTTTTATCGAATTTCTATTGGTGTTGTTTGTTTGTTGTTGTTTTTTGTGTGTGCCTTTTTTGGCTTAACACCATATGACAGTTGTCCAATTAAGAACACACTTCTGTGTGGACTTTTACTGAAAAACGTTGATTAAAGGCAGAAATAATGTAATTTTTCAGTGTCCGTGGACTATCAAGCTAGGGAAATAATCAGACTACTTTGGCGACCCTAATATTCTCCCTTTTTCTGCCTTTGAAACAAGACGACCCCACCTTCTTCAATCTCAAACATCTCCACTTCTATTCAAGATAAATGGGTATTTTTTTCACCGATAGCATGACAACCCAACAAGCTTTAAGATGATACCAATCCCAAATGCCCAACAAAGGACGAGCGCCTGATTCCACCACGTCGTGACACAGATGCTGCGGGGTAATCCCAAACACAGATTGCGGTCATTTGCGTTCTTTGCCTCAAGCACTTGTGACTTTTAAGTAGTACCTCTAAAGTCGCTCACGTTTCACCCAACTAGTTGTGCTTGGTATTTCTTTTTACAACTTTAGCCAAATGCACATTATACAACATTTTTCATAGACGCAACCCGCGTGGTGTTACAAGTATTGTCTCAATGGCCAACGAACTATATGTTTCTTACAACTCGAATGTGAGAGAAGGGGTGAATCAAAAGAAAACAGACAAAGTCACCGATCCTACCTCACACAAAACTTCCCAATTTGAAAAGCATCCAAATTCAACTCAAGAGTAGTTGTGCAAATAAACGAAAATCTAACAGGTGGGAACATCATAAAAATGAATCAGTCTAGAAACAGTCTCAGCGGTTTTTTCCTCCACTACTTCTATGTCTGATCTTTAAATAATGATAAACAATGCAAAGTGGCTAGCCATAACAACTTTGCCTTTTAGTTGTAAGTGCCATTCACTGTCTCTATGTAGCTGATGTCTGAAAAGTCAGTTCTTGAAAGAAAACGGATATAAATAGGTAGGTATCACTTGTAAGTGATTTTCGTCAAGTTGTTCTTGGACTGTAGACAAAGACTCACCTGCTATATCTTTTAAATAATTAAGTGGAGGTTAGCAAGAGGTCTCCAGTTTCTGAAGAACAACGCACTCTAGTAAAGAAAAGAAATGTGTTTGAATTCAGGCTGTCTTTACGCAGTTTTTAACCGTCTTTCAACGAGCACTGTCAATGAGCACCAATGAATGTGTCAGCCACTTTTACTGAGAACTTGTCACCAAAAGACAAAAATAAAAGTGTCTATTGTGGCATCACACGGTGTATTCGGGCGTTCGTCAATTATTTGGCATAAGGAGTAATGAGTTCAATCCTAATGCCTGTTCTTTGGCCTTGCTTTGAATGAAAAAATACCCACCTATCATTAAAAAATTTGATATATTTGCAATAGAATCTTGTGGCGGACACCTAGTAATTAGTAACGGGGGTAAACATAGCGAGAAAATGGCCAGCGTAGGTTCGTAACTTCCAAAGCTGTAGTGACCTTGGAAACTGCAAGTTTACATTTTTGTGATTGTCTTTGATCATATTTTTCATTCAAATGTATACAGGAATGTGTTTTGAAATTGCCATAAAAGTGCCGAACACAAGATACAAAAACCCAAAAAACAATGGATAAAAATATCCCAAAACAGGAAAAAAATGTCGTTTAGTTCGATTTCATTATTTTGACTAGCGCCTGATTTCACCACGATGTCACACATTTTAGTTTTGGCCATGAGTCAATTCTTTATGGCCATACTTGGGGATGGTCGTCTCACAGGGCAATCAATGTACAGGTCATATAGCCTACTTTCAATCAGGAATGCGCTCCACACCGTGCTATCATATGGTCGCTTTTAAGGACAAGCGGGCTAACCCAGATTTAGTTGTTTTCCAGAAATCATGACCTGCACCAAAAGCGGGCATTGCCCTACCTATAGGAGAAATTTGGTTTCATTGGTGTGTACATTTCTTGGGTTATAGAGAAAACTCTCCTTGTCTTTTAAAGAAACTGAAAACGGGGCAAAAATTTTCCTTCGATTTTCTCAAAACAGCAATTTTCGGGACAGCGCTCTTTCGTTTTAAAGCGGCCATACACGAATTATTATCAACCTTTAACACCCGGTCTGATCTCCACATACTGTTTTAAAAGCCGCGTCTGTTGGCATGGAACCACATGACACCTGTTGCCTCTCTCCACAAATCTATTGTGAAGCAATTAAGATTCCTTATCACATGCGGGAACTAGGTAGATCATTATACACTTAATACGTCTATTATGAGGAAGCAGACAACCCATATACAGCCATGATCGATTTGATGTTATTTCTGTATGATTTTACACGTATAACGCCGTTTTCGTTTAGGAATGAGCTCAATGTCGTTGATGAATAGTTCTGGCAGCCTTCTCTAACTGTGCAGCGTCTCCTTTTTGGAGTGTTTCTTATTAAACTCTCTTCTAAAAGAGGATGTCTAGTTGTTATTCATCTCAAATTGCTAATTCTTTCTATCTTCTCAAGGTCAGAATTTTCCTTGCACTTGGTGTCAAGAATCGTGACAACACATTTTTTGGCTTCAATATCATGTGGTTCCACGCCAACAGACGCGGCTTTTAAAACAGTATATCGAGATCAGACCGGGTATAATAATTCGTGTATGGCCACTTTTAATAAGCACAATGGGTATGTATTAGTTGTGTCAATATAGTTAAATTAATGGAACATGACATGACCCTAGCTGCCCTTATGCCAGATCTCATGTGGTCGAAAAGGAGGTCGGGTGGGCCAATATATTAGACAGAATTCAGCTCGAAAAAAAACCCCAAAGGTCTCTGAAGCAGTAACAATTCATGAGTGGTTCGACTCCTGATATCGACTATTTCAAGTCCTCACTTAATAACAATTGATAGCATTTGTGAGGCAGGGCGGTGAAACAGGCACTCGTCAAAATAACGAAGTCAGAGAAACGCATTTTTCCTCCAGTTTGGAAATTTGTATCATTTTTTTGTTTTTTGGCTTAACCTCTAGTGTGTCCATATAAAAACACATTTCCATATGCATTTTACTGAACGCCCTTTCTACCTTCCTGTTACCTGTATTTTGTGATGACCACATTTGGGTACGTGCTCTGGTCGATTTTGTCGCCATTTTTGAACCAGTCCACGTCGTCTGGTATCCGGTCGCCCTCTGTGGTGTTGCACCTGAGGTACACAGTCTGGCCCGACTCCACGAACTCCTGGCCCTCAATGCTGATCACTGGACACAACAGACAGACAAACACATAGAATGATCACTGGACACAACAGACAGACAGTCACATATAGAATGATCGCTGGACACAACAGACAGACAAACACACATAAAATACATTAAATCGTAAAGTTTAAAAAAATGTTCCAATGTTATTTGAGCTTTTTGTAAACTGTAGGGCGATTACTTAAATATTTAAAAACATTGCTATTTTTATACTAAAATCAGAGTAAAAATAGAGAAAGATTTTTTTGTAGAACGATTACTTATAGATAGCATTTGTATAGCACAAATCCCCGCTCAACAGCAAGCTCTATGCGCTTCACAATCTATATTATTACCCCAGCAGACCTAAGAGCATTCTGAAGTAACCCCAACTTCCTGGGAAGCATACAGTGCAAGCAGCCATTTATAGGCCCTAAAATACTAAAATACTGACACGATCTTTCGCTTTCTATGGCCAGGTACCCATTCCCACTTGGGTGAAGTGAGGAACATTCATAAAAAGTGCCTTTCTCAAGAACACAACGTCGGGCCCGCGGCTCGAACCCACGAACCCTCAAACTCATGATAACGAGTCCTGTAGCCTAACCACTAGATCGCCAACTTTCACAATCAAAGACATTCTGATAGTACAATCGGAGGGAAAATATGGAAATATATTTTGTTTCTTGGCGTGGTTAATTAGATGTATACGAATATTTCTAACTTTTCTTCTAGAATCTATGGATTAATTCTTGTTGCATTATATCGAGTAATAACCCGTCAAAAAGTACTTGTAGAAGCAATAAGTGTTACTTTCTTAAAACAATGTTAAAGGAATATTCTCAAAATAACTACTTCAAGAGAGAAAAACTGCACAAAAGGATGCATGCCACATTTTCTTCTTACTTCTCTTTTAACTTTTGATACAGAACACAGATTCTTGACGGTATCTTGACAATCCTATGCATCTATTGAAGTCGTTAAAAACGTTTGCTTTAACATTGAACTGGGAAGGAAGCAGCCGCAAATGAATGCTATCTATTTCACTGTATCTATAAGTTGGAAAAGGAAAAAGACGAACAAAGAGGTGTGTCAGATTCTACACACAAGAGAGGCCCTGCTAAGCAAAATAAATGTAGAAAAATTCAATACTATGGCCATTTAATTGAAAAGACAGGAGGCAATTGTGAACAAGTTGCCTGAAGGAAAGATGTGGGGCAGGAGAGGCAGAGGAAAGCAAAGCATAACACAGATGGGCAACATAAGAACATGGACTGGACTGGATATGGCAGAATGTGCAACGGCAGCTCGTGACCGTAAAAGATGGAGGGTCATTACACGTCAACCTCGGAGTCAGAGATGACACTCCAGGTATCCAGGTAGATCTATTCTTGGTTTGTTTTTGGGACACGTGAAACAGCATTACGACAGTATTTTGCAAGTCAACATTATATTGTTGATTTTCTTAGGGCGACCTGATCAAGCAGTTAATATTCGCTTTTTGATTTATGATAACTGACCAAGAACTATTCAATTGTTTACTGATCAATAATGATGGAAGAAATCTATCCACGAGCATTCTGTACAGCTGCCACACACACTATCTGAACTTTCGTCTGGCGTTCATTGCCTCTAAGATCACACGATAGTCTGGTTTCCAACTTTACTGTAAAAGGATCTGAAAGCCCGCATTACTGCTGGAAAGTAAAACCATCCCATAGGTAAATTATGCACCCAACATGTCTCACGATTTGTGTTAAGAGGGAAGACATCTTGCTTAAAACAAAACACAACGAAATCTTACCTGGATTGTGTGGAGGTTTTTCTGAAAGAGAAGGAAAAAAACAACGTTTTGTTACAGCTTTCCATCAGCCTCTAGAAAGGGGCATAACTATGCACGAGCCGATGTTCCCAACTCGTCTAATTAGGTCCCCGAGCACAAAACTTTAATGTAAAGTGTAGAGTGGTTGATCATGAGAACGTAATGGGATATCCCGCATTGTTTTACGTTTCATCTCGGGAAGACTACGACACCTTCGACGGACATAGACCAATCAAAATGCTTTGTGCCTCTAGACCAAGTACAAACTTCTGAGGGGTAACAGCCCCCCCCCCCTCCCCATGTTTTAACCCATAATTTGATATTTTTCGGTTAGGTTTGAAATTTTCTTGAACGTAATTGATTTGCGGCAGTTTTTGTGGCTGCGTGTGTGAACTGCAGCAAACAATACGAAGTTTGACCCCCCAAAGCAGTGCATCTATGTGCGGGAGTGTGTCTCTGAATATTTTCTGTTTGTTCGCCGGAGACGTCTTCGAATATCTTCTGCCATGACAAGTTGTGCACAGACGTTGTTGTCAGAAGATGGAGTGAAGTGGTGTATAGGAAAAGGAAAAGACTGCAAGATAAGAACATCATTTTTACAGCTGACTCTTTTAAAAACAAGTGTCTTTTCTTCATGTACAAAAGACAGTAAGAGCCCTTCATTCTCACCCACAATTAAATAAAACATGTGTAAATATCAAATATTTAACAACAGATTTTGTGATGCTGATTCAGTTATAGGAAAGGGTGTATACGTCCTTTTGTCTTATGTGACCCGCTGAGCGAGAAATTCTAATGAGTATCTGATTCTGTTTTTGTCCTTAATAACAATAATAATAATAATAATAATAATAATAATAATAATAATAATAATAATAATAATAATAATAATAATAATAATAATAATAATATTAATAATAGGAAGAAAAAGAAGAAGAAGAAGAAGAAGAAGAAGAAGAAGAAGAAGAAGAAGAAGAAGAAGAAGAAGAAGAAGAAGAAGAAGAAGAAGAAGAAGAAGAAGAAGAAGAAGAAGAAGAAGAAGAAGAAGAAGAAGAAGAAGAAGAAGAAGAAGAAGAAGAAGAAGAAGAAAAAGAAGAAGAAGAAGAAAAATACTACTACTACTAATAATAAAAGTAATAGCATTTATGCTGTGCACTTCCATTTTATTAAAAAAATCTCAATGCGCAATATAGTCAGGTTTCATGTTCCCAATCTACCTAGTCTAAAGAATGCTCCGGGGCTCTCGTGGTCCAGAGGTTACGGCGTTCGCTTCTCACTCTATAGGTTCCTAGTTGGAAACCTGACGGTAACGGACAATTTTCTTCTTTTACCTTCTTTCCTGCTCTCTAATCATGTTCTGTCGTCTGAATTCGTCTCCATTTTCTGCACCCCCACCCCTTTCTCCCTCTTCTGGGCTCCTGACTCTTTCTGTAGCTTTTCTTCTTTTACTCCTCGGCTTATTACTACTGCTGTAGGTAAGATCTAACACACAGCTTTCTTGGATAAGGATTAAATATCTCGGAGGTCCCGTGTGCATGTTGCACACGTTTAAGATCCCTAGATGGTAAAAATCGATTAGGGTAAGCTTGAGATTACCCCCAGTTTGACTAGCCATTGATTGCTAACCCCCCCCCCCCCCCCCCAACATGAAAAACTTTTTGTAAATAAATGTTTGTGTTTAACCCCATCAGATTGTTGAGGGGGGAGGGGGGAGGGGGGAGAGGAGCGGGAAGAGGGTGGAAAAGGGGGAACACGGGGGGGGGGGGGTTTAGGAGTGAGCGACATCTTATTGTGAGTTGTTAATTCTCTCACGCGGAGAGACAGACACCTCTACGCTTATCTTGGGCAGAGATTATTTTGTGTGTCAGTAAACAGATTTTGTGTTTGCTTGGGGGAGCAAAAAAGTTTTCGTCTGGACAAGATATCTGTTTCCCTCAAAGGCTCATCAGTTTATAGAAGCCATTATCAACGAAGTCTATGCAACTTACTCAAGCCTGGCTTTTTGACTCTGTCCTCCATCCCTTCCTAATTTGATGTAAAAGGGGTGTGAACAACGGAAGATGGGAAATGCAAATCTAATCGAGAATTGTGATGCAGCGTTAGACAGTCATTTCTTCTTTTTGTGAGTGTAAAGAACAGCGCTTTACATTTCCCGTTCCCCAAAGAAATAAACTGAGGATAAAAATCCTTCTGAAGAACAGCAGAATGATGGAAGAAATGGAAATATGGTATAAACGAAGGCTTTTTGTGATCACAAGATGGGAATTTCATGCCACAGGCTCCCGATCAGATCTATCGGGAAGAAAAAGATATCAACTTTCCTTGGCGGTGATCGGGAAATAGAAAGAAACAGTCGGGGAAAAAACAGAAGAAGCAAAGCCTTTTTTTTTTCTATGTTTTGCAAGATCTGGTTCGTTGTCCAGAGAAAAGCAAAAACGTTTTCCTATTTTCAACCACTCTTTTATTCAGATTTGGTCGTCTTTTGCTTTGCCTGCTCTTTTTTATATAACACCTCTCTTATTGTTTATCTCCCCACTTATTTAGTAAATCCACTTTCTTTTTCCCCCTGTGTTTTCCAAACCCCACCCGTTTTTCTTCGTTCTTTTCCTTTCTTCTTTTATCCATCGTCTTGGCCCAAAAATCCGCCCAAATCTTGTTTTACTTAATTGTTACAACTGAGGTTTCTCCACGCCATTTGCACGTGGCGATTAAGCTGTTTGTTTTGTTTTGGTTTTTTTCCAATCTTCTTACTAAGCGCTATGGTTTGAAATGAGTGTTGTAGTGGGTAATATATTTACAGAGAATTTCATCTGTACGGACGTTTAAAACAAGAAAACACAATTCGAACCTACAGTCTGAGGTATTAGTCTTAATCGTCTAACTGTGCATAGGTGCTCTGGTTAGCATTGTTTTTGAATAGGAGACAGGGGAAACAAAAAACAAAAATCGTAGAATGTGTAGGTAAAGATTAGTGTGCCCCCCATGGGAATTCCGTAAGACTGGACGTCCAGACAAAATTTACACTTGCGCCCAAAATGGTAAGACCCTGGACTAACGTATTATCATGGTAATGGCGGCGTAGACGAAGCACACTATGAGGTAGCCCAACTCTGTCTGGCTGGAATGGGAAGGCGTCACTAAAAAGGAATACTTTTTTTTATCTTGTCGAGAAACTAATGTCCCAAGATTTTTACAAGGATAGGAATGGGTGTTTACTGGAAGACTGGAACAATGAGTTGGTTCTTTTTTGTTTGTTATTTGTAAATGCTGTAATCCACTCCCGATCCTCCCCCCCCCCTCGAAAAAAAACCTGTCGCAATTTAGATCATTTAGGGGGCGGCAACCTTGACCTTGCCAACCTATACCAACCAAGGTCGAGTGAGTTACATCTCAGCAGACAGACGGAAGTTCCAGATTTAAAAAAGAAAAACAAAAACAATTCTCCCCCCCAAAAAAAAACAACACAAAAAAACAACAACAACAACACAACAGCAAACAGCAACATTCGCGCTCGGCAATCTAATCTCATCTTCAGCGTGCAGCTACAAAGAGCGTAGTCATTATACAACAGACACCGATGACGGTAGTGAGGAGAGTAAAGGCCGCTACACATGTACGTTCCAAACTGCCGGTTCGGATTGGAAAGGCAAACCTGACGGCACAACCACAGATGTGGATGAAAAACTGCTGGTAAAAAGTTAAACCGGGAGGTCGAACCGGCGGTTTCAACATGTTTGGATTTTCTGACAACAGTGCAGCACGTTCCGTCGACGACAGCCTTTGTGTGACGTCACAGCCTTAGCCGGCTTATCTTGTCACTGCCAATATCTTCTAAATGATTTACCGCACATAAAATCTGATTACATTTTTGAAACGAGCGACACAATTTTAAGGCAAGAATCGAGCAGAATATGTATTTTTTTCAATGATTAAAGATGTTTTAAAAAATCCCACATAATAATGCATTAGCTGAAGGGGTTCAGTACAGGTTTGGCCTCTGTGCCACGACTTGATCTGCGGTTAAACCGCACGTGATGTGGATGACGCGCCGACCCGTCGAAAGGCGGTTTTGTGTGGCGATTTCAACGCCGGTTCCCACTCCAGTTTAAACCGCTGGGTTGGAACGTATTGTGTAGCGGCCTTTAGAAAGGCTGAGAATTTACAAAAGGTGAAAGGGGCAAGAATGGCTTACATTTTACAATAAATGAGATAGAGAAGGGGAAGGGGGAGTTAAACAGTCTCCTTCCTTTGTCCCATTGCACTAACTTGTATCGGAGAGGTAGCGGAAGAAGGGGGAGGGGGGATCAGTCTCTTTACTTCGTCCTAGTGCATTCATCTATAACGGAGGGGTAGGGAGGGGGTGGTGTGATCAGTCTCTGTACTTCATGTCAGTGCACTCACCTATAAAGGAAAGGTAGGGAGAGGGGTGAGTCTCTTTACTTCATCCTAGTGCATATACATATAGCGGAGGGGTAAGGAGGGAGGGGAGGTGTGGTCAGTCTTTTCGCTTTAAGCCAGTGCACTCACCCTAACGGACATTTAGGGAAGGGGGGTGTGATCAATCTGTTTGCTTCATGCCAGTGCATTCACCTGTAACGGAGAGGTGAGGGGGGGGGGGATCAGTCTGTTTGCTTCATGCCTGTGTACTCACCTATAACGGACAGCTTGACCCTCCAGGACATCTTCTCTGTGGCGATGATCTGACACTCGTACATGCCCGAGTCCTCCACTCGCGCCTCCCGGAACACCAGATTCCAGTCGCTGACCCCTGCCGGCCAGTTCTGGTGCGCCACCTTTAGGTTTTGATCCTGCACCCACACGTGAGTCCCGATACTCAGAAAGTGGTCGCCACCCACCTTCTGCCACGAAACCTGAAAGTGAAAGATTAAATGATGTAAAAAAGACAATGTGCTCACATTATTATGCAGATGTGAGGGCCATAAAACCTTACTTAAAAACAAAACAAAAACTAGAAAAGACAGTTGGTTACTTGGTTACTTAAGAATGGTGAAACAGTACAAGTTAAACGCCTCTATTAACATTGTTAGGTTATTTAAGAGGCGGGACCTCTGAGTTTAACGTCCATTTCCGAAATGGCCGAGTCAAATGGGAAATTTGTGTAAAAAGCTGTTCACAAGGACACGACGTCAGACCGGGCAGAGTCTCGAATCCATGCGCCCACAACATCACGATAGCGAGTCCGGTAGCCTAACCACAAGGCTACCGACCCACCCTTGGTCACTTGGTTACTTAGTCACCTCGTTACTTGATTGGAGAAATAGGTATCACCGCAGGCGGCACAATGCCATAACTGTTCCTTCATCCTCTCCAGGATTCACAAAAGAGTTTGCTTGCTGATCGTGCCAGTTATCAGCAGGCAGGATATTTTTTTGGCTTTTCCACACAAGAGTTGGAAAAGAGAGACCTGGTTTGAAGTTGTGTTCTTGCCTAACGACGTACAGCCGTGTTCTTGTTTTGCAAAGTAAAGAAATATAATTCTTCCATTGGGAAGCGTTTGTTACGTATGACTTTCTATTCAGAGGATATTTTTTGTTTGTTCATTCATTATCTATAGGAAATGGAACACTGTTACACACTGCTCTCTGAGTTAAAACCAAACTGCTATGATAGAGTAAAAAGTATTGAAGCATGTCAACTGGAAATGATGGTGAACCATCTACCCTAACCCATGTAGGACGAGCAAATCATATATTGTCTGTGTTAAACAAAAACTTTATTTCTTTTTCCACCCCCACCTCGACCGCCTCTTTTTAGCGATTTTTTCATAATTTTCTATTTCGTTCCTTTTTGTGGAGGAGTGAGAGACTGAGATTGTGTTTTGACTTGTGCTTTACATTGATGTTTGCAATTTCAGAAAATTATCAATAATAATAAAAATGAAAATAATGATAATAATAATAATAATAATAATAATAATAATAATAATAATAATAATAATAATAATAATAATAATAATTATAATAATAATAATAATATAGATTGCATTAATATAGCGCTCTAATCCCAAACGAGTATAAGCTCTGAGCTATCATATCAACAGTGAGAGAACTCTGTATAAATACAACAGAACGAAAAGAAGTAGAAACGTTAAATACGTGCCTCTGATAATTACCTACTTACTCTCCAGTGCAACATCCCATTTGAGCGGGGTAAAAGAGCTTAATTCGAGAAAATTCAGCATCCCACATTCTTGGAAAAGGCTATTTAGCATTCTTAGATTATTTGACAGAATGTGACATCCGTTTATAGAAGAACACCCGAGGACTGCGTTCTGGGATATACCGAGATAAAAAATGAGGGGAATGGGTTAAAGAACGAAGATGAATTTCCTCAGAGAGGAATAACTAATCTGATATCTATTTCTCCACATTCTGGAGACGCTTCAGGGACCCGGGACAATAAAGATTACGACATCTAATGCCTCCGGCGAGATTCTGATATCAGGAAATCTAGAGCAATCAGAGATGACCAGCAGCGTGTCCCTGAGGAAATGACGTTCATCTACCTCGCACGGTCGCTAAGCCCGGAGGCGCGATAACTGATTCAAGACTGTCTGCCATTCCATTTTCTCTGTCAAAGTCCATATTATTATACCTTTTCCCGGTGTATCGTGACATCTTAATGCGATAAAACAAAGAAAAGTGTTCCAAACTAGGTCTAGCACTTTCAATAAAAGCGAGATAGCGTCTGGACGCGTGGCCGAAATGAACCACCACATCTACGAGTTCCAAAGACGCCTAAGTACAGAAGTGATCAACTAAACTAAGAATGGTTAAAGTGTAATACATATATACTACGGAGTCCATTTAATTTCTTTCTTAACTAAATAACGTACATAGTACATAGTAAGTAAGTTTATTCAATGTTTAAGGCCCTTGGCCCTCATCATATCACATAAAACACTCATTTGATAAGTAAAGTTTCCATAATGAATAAGTACAGGTTGTGCACATATCTCTTATCATGGACCAAACATTACATATTTCTGTCATTGGACCGAGTTCGGCTGGGAGGGATTAACAATTTCCTTTGATGGACAAAGTGTGAACAACAGAAAATAAAGTGAAATTCACCATCAATTTCATGAGAGTTGACTAAATAACGTACTCGTAATTGTACTTGCAGATGTTTAAGGCCTCATCTGCACAATGTAGGGGGCAAGGTACTTCGACCCTGCTACCAGCACTAACCCAGGCAGCGGGTGTTTGGCGGGTGCTCTTGTGTGGTTTGCTCCTTCTTTCTTATCAAACATCTATCGTTCTTGTCTCTCCTCCTTCTTTTTGTGTTTGTTACTCTCTTGTAACACCTCTACTCTTCGGCACTTATATGACCTTATTGTGTTGCAAGTGCCGTAAAACTCTTACTAAAACAAAATAAAACTGTGCGTGTGTGTGGGTGTGTTTGTGTGTGTGTGTGTGTTTGTGTGTGTGTGCGCGCGTGTGCGTGTGTGTATGTGAGTTTGTGTGTGTGTGTGTGTGTGTGTTTGTGTGTGTGTGCGTGTGTGGGTGTGTGTGTGTGTGTATGTGTGTGCTTGTGTATATGTTTGTGTGTGTGTGTGTGTATGTTTGTGTGTGTGTGTTTGTGGCAACGAGAATTGAACTCACGACTTCTGTGTACGACGGCACCACACCTAACCGCTGCACCACAGATGCCGATCCAAGTATCGCTTCGAGGGACAATAAAAAGGAAACTAGAACAAATGAATAGCAGTGCGTCACGACGGGGTGAAATCAGGCGCACGTCAATTTTTGGGCATATTGAGTTATTAATACTGTCTTAAAGCGTATTCATTTGTCTGGTATATGGCAAAATTTCCCTCGTTCGTGAACTGAAGTCGAGATATTTGCGATTGATGGTAATAAGGTCTCCTTATGTCAGAGGTAAATCTATCGAAAAACTGGCCGCCAAAGTTTGGTGACTTTCAAAGCTTGAGAGCCTTTGGAAACTGCAAATTTACGTTTTTGTGCCTGTAACGAACATTTTTCTGTAACTTCTATTCAGAAACGCGTTTTTAAAAGGACATAAACGGTGTTGAGCCATATAAAAAAACAAAAACAATTTACAAATATTTCCTAAGGCCCAGAAAAATGCAGTTTGATTTCATTGTTTTGACGAGCGCCTGATTTCACCACGCTGCCTCACTTCGCGTCTTGGCATGTTTTACATGTCCGTGCTTCACACACAGAATCCAGCTGCAGTTTTACAGGTACCCAGACCCCTGTGGCACGGCCTCAGTTTTATTGCCAGCACACCAAGATACTTAATCCTATCCGTACGTCGTGTTTTACCATCGAATCCATGCGACGCGGGGAACTCTCTGCCCCCACTTTCCAAAGAGGAAAATTACTCGTTAATCCGACCTTACGCTTTGCATAGCAGTCTGTCAAAATTCTTTTTAGAGAAATACTGACAGTTTTATAGAGATCTTCGCACTAGAAGTGTTCTAAAATGTGAAGAATACAACCCATGTAGTACAAAATGACCCCAGGCTAACGGATAGGTGTAAACGAGGCAGCGTGGTGGAATCAGGCTCTCGTCAATTTTTGGGCATATTGAGTTATTGGTATCATCTTAAAGCTTGTTCATTTGTCTTGTTTCCAACGAAAAAATTACCCATCCATCTTCAGTAGAAGTGGAGATATTTTAGATTGAAGGAGGTGGGGGTTACCTGGTTTAAGACGTAAAATTAGTGAAAAAATGGCCGCCAAAGCTTGGTAAATTCCAAAGCTGGAGAGTCCATGGAAACTGTAAAGTTTTTCTGTGGAATCCTCAAAGGAATGTGTTTGTAATGGACATGAAAGGTGTTGAGCCGAAAAACAAAAATTTGATAAAAATTGCTAAGCAGGGAGAAAACGGCTGTTTTCTTCGATATCCGTATTTTGACGAGAGCCTGATTCCACCACGTGGCCTCACATATGCCACCTAGTGGTGCTGAAAATGGCCATTGTTCAGAAATAAAGGAACATCTAACGACAAAGGGTAGATCTTTAATGATATCAGCTAAACGCTTTCCTGTATCTAGACCTCATATCATTTTGTATACAGAATGCGCTTTGAAAATGTTCCCTTAACCAATCCCCCCATTCTTCCAAATTGAGTTGATGTAGCGTATCTAGACCTTGTATCATCCATGTATACAGAATCCGACTTCGAAAATGACCTATCTTTACGTTCCCTTAACAAATCCTCCATTCCATTCGTCCAAATGGTGTCGATATAACGTAGAGATTTACGTTACAGAAATCTCCCTATCTTCTAGTCTCGTCCGTGGACCTGCAGACATACTCATGCCTCAATCTAGGAGAGCAGTGCCACGCTAGGTTGTCACGTCGAGCTCGCAGGTGCATGGATTGAGGAGAATACCATCACACACCGAATGCTTCCCGGTAATGGAGAGATCCTATCTCTGCTGAACACAATTTCTTGTAGCTCACGGCTACTGCTCCCCACAGCCGAGCTGCTCACATTAATAGCATTAGTCGCCGGCGGTCAAGGACAATCTAATAACGACTCTTGTGTCCGCATCAAGTGATCAAAATGCAATGCTGGTATCGACCAAGGAGCAAGCAGTCGGCCGGGTAAGGGGGTGGTCAGCCTAGCGTGGTGTCCGGCGCCCCAAGAGCCAGGGCAAACATAGAGTCTCCTCACATCCTGCGCTCGACAGTCGATTGTGCTCTCAGTTATGAGCCATTACCAGGGGGAGGCTCTTTCATCACCCGGCCCAGAAGATCATCCTTCTTGGGATAATGGTAGCGCTGATTATATTATCCTTTACAGTCAGTAATGATGTCGGTTAAATCTTGCCTCGCGCAGGTGAATCCCCAGGGCAAGGATGAAATAATCTGTGAAA